TTCTCCTGCTGGATGACTATGCAGATGCAAAAATTCACGTGCCTTTTCAACAGAGTCAATTTTTTCTTTCTTGTCCATAAATTTAAAGATTGTGCCTTCGGGTACAATCTATCTGTAGGGGGATGTTTTTCTTCTGTAAAAATAATACAAAGTCTCTGTATTTTCTTCTTTTCCTTCTTATTCCAAACAGGATGTCCTTCAACACTTTTATTTCTTTGTCTTTGATTTTCAGGGTAGATCCATTTGTCGCTTTGAGAATTTGATCTCTCACTTGTCTTCTGGAGAATCTTAACATCACTTCCCCTGGCAGATTATTCTTTCTTGTAAATTCTGAATATGACCTATCGATCGTATCAATTTCGCTTTGTAGTATATCTGTTTTTATATCTGCCATAGGGCCTATTGCATCACACATATTCTGTTTCAGATTCTCCCCCTTCTCTTCCGGAACACCTTGAAATCTTATTCCCCAGGCAGATGATTCTTTCTTGTAAATTCAGGATACGACCTGTAGATCATATCAATTTCACTTTGTAGTATATCCGTTTTTATATCTGCCATAGGGCCTAATGCGTCACATATAGTCTGTTTTAGATTCTCCCCTTTCCAGAACACCTTGAAATCTTAAGACATAGCTTGCTTCCTTCAATTGTAGCTGTAACAAATGAGACTCCTCCATCAATCTCTTTTTTCCCATCACCTGCAGTTGTTTTTTGAGCTTTTTAGTATTGGCATCCACTTCTTTCACTTCTTGCTCAGTTATTTCTGTTTTTTTGGCTATCTTCGTTAATTGAGTTTGCTGTGCATCGAACTTATGGTGCAATGCCATGACTTGTTCCAGCAGAAGGTGCAGTGCTTCCGTCAGCATATTTTGCAGCTCTGTAGTTGTGTCCTGTCTATGCACAGAACTTGCTGGGCTGGCAGTTCCGGTAAGAAGCTTAGGTTTCACTTGCTTGTCTTTCTCATCCTTCCTCATGGGCGCCATGTTTAGAGATTATTTATTTTTTTATAAAAGTTATCACAGTCTCTGCTACGCTTAAATCCGCCTGGTAAGTTCTTAAGTGCTTTTTATTTCAGTCCAGTTTGCTTCAATAGCCCACCCCCTTCTCATAATAGCTCAAAGTTTGCTTTGTTTTTCTTAGCGGGCGAGAGTTCCCTCCCCCCCTCACTTTCAAAGGGGAGGTTTTCGACTAGATCATTGGTGTTTTTTGCTTAGACGTTAACTCACATTTCAACGATAAATCCGCTTTTGTTTAAAAACGCTCGGCCACCAAACGCTTGCTCCAGTGTGCGATTTCTAGTTCCCATTCGGGATGCTCTGCGGCAGGACCTTCGGGGCATGGGAAAGCCTCCTTCACCAGCAGGATCACCAGAGGAAGAGCTCTCTAGCGCCCCATGGCTGGGAGCCCAACACGAGGGCTCTGGGGGTGGCACGGACAGTCACGCCCCCTCTCAACCGTGGGCTCTGGCATCCGTCTCCCGGAGCACCGGGAGAAAGCAGACGCCATGGCAAATGCCAAAACCGGAAGTCGCTACTATAGCATTTTCCTGTTTGCAACGTGTCTTATAATTCTTGTTTCCTATATCCACAGAACAGAACAAAGGAAATCATTTGCTTGAATCAAAGAAACGCTATGGCTGAACAGGCACAGAAAGAAAAAAGAGAGAGGAAGGGCTGGGAGAGAGAAAAAGAAAGACAAGATGATAATATGCTGTCAGATCCAAGCCCTGATATTTCTTATATTTTGAATGCACGAATCTGCCTTATACTAAGTCAGATGTAAAAAGGTCTGCACAGTATTGCTGACTGCCTGGTCCTTTAAACTTACAACGTCCTTCATGAAAATCAGATGCTCTACCACTAAGCCACAGCCTCTCCCCCAAGCTACAGAGAAAAATGTCTTAGTTATGTGTATGTGTGTTGGCACTGAGAAAACCCTAGACAAATATGACTGAAGCCTGACATCAGTGACATGGAAAGGAAGATTTTCCACAAAATTTTCAGATGCTATATTTTTTTTGGAGAAAAATTTCCACCCTGAATATGTAAAATATAGCCTGTTTATCTATGGTTGTCAGGGTTGTTGTGCTGCAAACCAATCATGTTAAGACAAACCAAATCCACAGTATGAAGCATGGGCACACCCCAGTGCTCATCCATAATCCATGCTTGTACTTGTATTTGCCTTCTTTTGCTAAATTTATTTTAAATTTTGTCAAAATTATTTAAACATTTAAATTATTTATTTAAATTCAAATTGGACATTTTTCTGATTCAACTGTTTCTGGACAATCCATGTCACTGTTTGATGGAATTACATACTAGTGTCCTGGACCCCAACTGCATAGTTCCCATAATGGGTAACATTTTCTTCTCTGTCCACGCAGCACATTGGCCATAAAGTTTACATTCACTAAGGTTCTCACTGTAGTACAAAACACTAGTTTGGTGTTTGGTCAGTTGGTGTTTGGTCACTAGTTTGGCCAGTTTGGCGTAGTGGTTAAGTGTGCAGGCTCTAATCTGGGAGAACCGGGTTTGATTCCCCACTCCTCCACTCGCAGCTGCTGGATGACCTTGGGCAAGCCGTAGCTCTGTCAAAGGTGTTCTTGAAAAGAGCAGTTTCTGTCAGAGCTCTCTCAGCCCCACCCATCTCACAGGGTGTCTGTTGTGGGGAGGGGAAGGGAAAGGAATTTGTAAGCCTCTCTGAGACTCCAAGTGAAGGGCAGGATATAAATCCAATCTCCTCCTCCTCCTTCCTCCTCTTCTTCCTCATATATCAGTGTTCTCTGTTTTGATTACTTAAAAGGTGTGTATTATAAGTAATTTCATTAAGTTATCATCAATTTTGATACAGCTTTAAATACGTCAACATTTTTTTTTCTGTTTTAGGGAAAATGTTATATTTTCTCATTGGCCCTAAACATTTCAAAAAAAATTCTGATGAACATTTCTCTCAACTCTGAAAGTTCATCCCCCCCCTTCTGATTTTAAAAGAAATTAAAACATTTTTGCGGGCCCCCGAGTGCCACGTGATGGAGTGAGCTCCTGTCTCTGGTCCCAGCTCCTGCCAACCTAGCAGTTTGAAAGCAAGAAATTGCAAGTAGATAAATAGGTACCACTTTGGTGGGAAGGTAACAGTATTCCGTGCGCCTCGGTGTTTAGTCATGCCAGCTACATGACCACAGAAACGTCTTCGGACAGCGCCGGCTCTTCGGCATGGAAACGGAGATGAGCACCGCCCCCTAGAGTCAAATTCGACTGGCTTCTGAGCAAGGGAAACCTTTACCTTTTTAAAAGTATGGTGAGCCCTAGGCACTGTGCCTACAGGATAAATCAGCCCTGCTTAGACCACCTTAATGAACTGAGAGATAATAATAGGAGATAATAATCACTGAAGACCAGAACTACCTTGTAATCTTGGACAGCGTCCTCAGTAGGGATCACGGTGTGATGCCGATGCTCCTTGGAGATAGCACATACCAGGCAGATCGGAATTTTATCATCTTTACAGAAAACTGTCACGGGTTCCTGGTGCCCCTCGCACATTCTTCGCTCTTCTAGCACTCTGGATGTTTCTCGGTGCAAACATCGGACACTGTCGGCAATTCTTGCCAGATGCTGGTTGTCTGCGGAACTACTTAGCGGGCTGTTTTCTCCGCACTGGGGGCAGGATACGTTTCCTTCCAGTTCTCCCCAGCACTGAGCGATGCAGGTTCGGCAGAAATTGTGCCCGCAGGGCATGGTCACGGGGTCTTGGAAATAGCCCAGGCAGATGGGGCACGAAGCTTCCTTTTTGAGACGTGCTAAGAAGATGTTCGCATCCATGACTCTCTCTCTCTCCTTTTTTGCCAGAAGTTAACTTTCGTTTTTCACTCGCCGCCTGGAGATGCCACGATTGGCCCGGTTTCCGTCTCTGATTGGCTGAGATGGTATCAGTCTTGGAGCGAGGCAGTAGATTCCTGCACGCTGTAACGCGGAAATGGGATTGACAAACCACAGTTTCCACTGCCGTAGCAAATCAGAGTTCGATGCTGGGGTGTGGGTGCAACCTCGCAGGCTGTTTTTAAACAGTATCCGATCAATGGTCTCTCCAGCCCAAACTGTCCCCCCTGGCTGGCAACAGTTCTTCACGGAGCCAGTGATGGTCCTTTCAGATGGAAATTGATACCCACACCCAGATCTTATACATGCAAAGCGTGAGCTCGTTTCCCGTTTTACTGGCGCTCGTGACACAGGGAACTATTTTATGCTGATTCAGACCATTGGCCCCCGTAGCCCGGCGTTGTCTCACCCCCTCGTTGTCTCTGGGCTCGCTCGCAGGCAAGGCGTTCCCCAGTCCTGACACCCGAGATCTTTTAAGATAGAGCTGCCAGGGGGTCCCTAGCAGAAGAAAAGAGCAAGAGTCCAACAAAATTTGTGGTAGGGTAGAAGCTTTAGGGAGTCACTGCTCGGTTCTTCAGATATAGCTAGAATGCGAGTCCATCTGTCCCGATGTCTGGAGAGTGATTTCAGATGCCAAATGATAATAGCAGGTGGATGCCAATAGCAGGTGTGATTGGATGAGGTGAGATATGCAGAGGGGTAGTAGGCAACAGTCAACCCTGACTGTTCCCTGGAAGGCCAGATAATGAAACTGAAGCTCAAATACTTTGGCCACCCAATGAGAAGGGAGCACTCACTGGAGAAGACCCTGATGCTGGGAAAGATTGAAGGTGAAAGAAGACGGGGACGGCAAAGGATGAGATGGTTAGACAGTGTCATAGATGCAACGAACATGAAATTGAGCCAACTTCAGAGGACGGCGGAAGACAGGAAGGCCTGGCAGGAGCTGGTCCATGGGGTCGCAAAGAGTCGGACTCGACTGTGCGACTGAACAACAAAGTAGGCATGGAGAAAGCAACTTTGCTAATGAGGCAGGAAACCTAGGTCTCTGTTCAATCCAGGCGGATGCATTGTCTTGAACCTCTTTATCAGATGCAATTCATCAGCCTCTCTTTCTAATCTCCCTTTGAAATTCCTTTGTAAAAGAACTGCTACTTTTAAATCAGCAACTGAATGTCCTGGAAGGTTAAAATGTCCCCCCACTGTTTAAATTTTTTTTTAAATTATGTGTGTGTGCACACACACGTACCTGAAAGTCATGACAACCTCTGGCAACCCCTAGTGGATCATGGAGGACGTTCAGAGAAGTGTCTTTTAATATAGCCTGCCTCTGCCTCCTGGCCCTGGTATTCCTTGGAGGTCTCCCATCCAAGTACTTGCCAGGGTCAGCCCTGCTTAGCTTCTAAGATATGACAAAATTGGGCTTGCCTGGGCTATCCAGGTCAGGGCTGTTTTTTGAATGTTGTGGTTTCTGATGTCAGACTTATGTCCATTTATTCTTTGCTGTAGGCACTGGCCTGTTTGTCCAATGTAGAGGGTGGAAGGGCATTGCTGACACATGATGACATAAATCACATTAGATGAGCAGGGGTATGAACCTGAAACTGTATGGCTGATGTTGCTGGGTCCACTGACGATGTTGCTAGGATCTATGTGACAGGAAAGTTGGCTGGAGTTTGTTGCAGGACTTGTTACTTTTAAGGGTCATGTATGTGCTGAGCTTTCCCTCCACTGGTGGAAAGCAGGTGGATATTTATTAAATGTGTATTTGTATCTCCAGCTAAAGAACATAGCAGATGGTCGGTTTGTGGGCAGAAACTCCAACCCCCTGCTGTCTTTTGAAATTCCTCCAGTTAGTGCTTAGAATGCTGGACTAAGACTGGGGAGACCTGTCAGAGAAAGCCTCAGGTGAAGTTGGACCAGTAATTTTCTCTTTGTACTACCTTACGGGGTTGTTGTGAGGATAAAATGGAGGGGGGAGAATCATGCATGCTACCCTGAGCTCCATGAAGGAAGGGCAGAATAAAAAAAATTACACAAAATAAATAAACACATTGTCCTGTAGTAAAGTCAAGGACACCTCATCTCTAATTTTGCCATATCAATTGCATGCCTAGCCTCCAGTAACTGGTACATTTGTCCCCTTTTAACTCAGGTCTTGTTAATCACTCCGTACTGCGCTGCCACAGGTTGTAGTGATGGCCACTGTCTTCGATGTCTTTAAATGGGGATTAGCCAAATCTATGGAGGATAGTTCAGAAACAAAAGCCATGTCATCTTTTTGTAGTACAACCTCCCAAAATAACACAAGATAGTTTACAAGCTTTCACATTCTTCAGAACTCTTCACCAGGCTGAATGTTACCAAAAATGCCATCGATTTAACCTAGCAGGGCTTCATGTGTTTATGTCCACTGCTGGAGAAACAACTGGCCGTACCAGGAGGCAGGAAAAAAAGAAAAAAGCTGGTGCAAGGTGAAAGTATTTATTAGAGCTTTAGAGATCCCTACACATTTCCCCTCTGTATTTGGTTCTGTAGTTACAAGTCAATCGTCCTTTGACTCCCTGATTGTTATTTCTCTAGCACAGCATCTCTTGCAGGTATACATGTTGCAGTGTTCACTTGTGGTCTACCTTAACTGACATTTAAGCCAACTGAGCACAGCAGTCTTTGCCAATAGATCTGAGAAGACGTGGACTGGAATAGGGCCTCCTGATGTAATAAAGGGCCAGGACACTTTTCTCCAGGCCTGTTGACAACCTTAAGAAGATAATATCTGTAAAATGGGTGCATTGCTGGTACTTTTGCTGCAGGAACTTTAGGAGATCTTGGTTTAGAAGCTGTGACTGGTGGAAGTCCTTGGAGCCAAAGTTTCTCACTTATGTGTTCTTCTTCCTTATGATAGTGGGCACTGAGGAAAAGACTTTTCTTTATGCTGGTTGGTTGTTGCTGCTAAATAAAAAAAGGGGGGGGAAGAGTGCATTAGAGTCCAGGGCACTGAGATTTGTACTTGAGGCACCTTGCTGTGGCTGGGACCCTGTTAGAATATTTGCCTGGGTATCTTCTAGGCACAGGGACTTGCTGCTTTGCATTGGTTTGGAAAGTACTTGGCTATGGCTTCCTTCTTGCAGACATCAAAGTACAGCTACCAGCACTGGCTTGTGTGGGTGAGAGACAGAATGTTCGTTCTCTCTCTCTCTCTCTCTCTCTCTCTCATATCATCATCATTATCTATAATTTCCTATTTATTTATTTAGAGTCCAGTGGCACCTTTAGGACCAACAAAAGGTTTATTCAAGGTATGAGCTTTCGTGCGCATGCACACTTTTTCAAATACAATGGAATTTTATATACTAAATTTGTTAATCGCCCAATCCCTGAGCTCAGGGCGGGTCACAACAATAAAATTATAAACCATTAAATCAATTATGACAATAAATAGTTAAAGCAATTAAAAATGGCAGGTAATGCAATAAATTCATAGGTTCCAGCAGCACTGAACAACTGGAAGCAACTAAGCTGTAAAAACCAGAAAACAATAACAATCTTATTATTGTGGGCCAGCTGTAGATGGAAGGCTACAGGAAGGGAGGCCAATATAATTGGGTGCCTGCCACCTCAACCAGAAGCCTGGCAGAACTGGCAGGCCCTGTGAAACTGTAATAAGTCTCGCAGGGCCCTGATCTCAGGCAGGAGCTTGTTCTACTAGGCCGGGGCAGAAAAAGCCCTGACCCTGGTTGAGGCTAAGCGGATGACCTTTGTGCCTGGGACAGCCAGTACATGATGGTCCGCCAAGTGTAAGGCTCTCTGGGGCACATATGGGGAGAGTCAGTCCCTAAGGTATGTTGGTCTCTCAGGCCTCATAGGGCTTTAAAGGGCAATACCAACACTTGAAACAAATCTGGCACCCGATTGGTAGCCAGTGCAACTGGTATAGCACTGGCTGAATGTGCACCCACACAGACGTCACAGTCAGCAGGTGCTCTGCCACATTTTGCACTAGCTAGAGTTTCCAGATCAGTTTTAAGGGTTAAGCCCACATAAAGGGAGTTACAGTAATCAAGCCTGGAAGTGACCATTGCATGGGTCACTGTAGCCAAGTCCAAGGATGAGAGATATGGAACCAGTTCCCTGATCTGCCGGAGATGATAAAAGGCTGACCTGGCGACTGCAATGACCTGGGCCTCCGTAGACAGTGAGGTATCCAGAGTCACCCCTAGGCTCCTCACCTTCTGGACCGGCACCAGCAGTGCCCAGTCCAGAGCAGGGAGCTTGATTCCCAAATTTAAACCACCACCACCCCGGCTCAGGTACAGGACCTTCAAATGCCCTCCAGCTGATTTGGGCCCTTGAATTCCCTCCCAGTCCCCCTCTGTCAACAGCTCTGCCGACTTACCATCTCCCATTGATGCCATTTTATCAGGCACTGAGGGTCTTGGGAAAGACATTTTGCTGCCCAAGCTGCCATCAGAAGAACTAGTAGAGCTCGCTGCCGCCATCTGGTATCGTTGTGCATTCATATTTCTCACAGGAACAACCACATGCCTCACCACTTTTCTTTTCATGGCCGGTGAACCGGCCACACCAAATGACGGAGCACCTAGCAAGAGTATGAGAACACTAGGTTGCAAACCGACTGAGCAACTTTTGTTGACAGTTGTAAAGAGAGCCTCCTATGTGGTAACATCAGGTACTGAGTTTCGCACAAGATGTTTCACGGGAGGGATCCTAACCAGTGTTCCCTCTAAGCTGAGTTAGTGTGAGCTAGCTCACAGTTTTTTAGCCTCTGGCTCACACATTTCTGTCTCAGCTCAGGAAGGATGGCGCCAGAGCAAACTAATTTATGCAGCAGCCAAATTGCTTGCTCACAACTTTTATGCCAGTAGCTCACAGAGTAGAATTTTTGCTCACAAGACTCTATAACTTAGAGGGAACATTGATCCTAACTAAAAATTTTGTGCTATACACACAAAGGCTGGAGAAGGTAAATACTAGCATCCTTTTTCTCTCTCAGAAAAACAGTTCTGAGTATGTTTATGAGAAATTTTGACTGACAGTTCAGGGATAAAAACTAAAACACCTGCTCCTCTTGTGCTGCTTCCTCTGATCAAATTAACAACCCCCAATTTGAGCTGGTGGGGGGAACCTTTCAGAGATCCATTCACACACTTTCCACATCACATTGGCTTCGACTCTTAAGTAACACCAGGAAAAGATCAGAAAATTACTTCATCAAGGAAATGTTCATGAGAGATAAATGTAGTTGTTAACAGTCAGTTATAATACTCAGAAAAGTTCACAGCTCCCTTACAGGTGGTCATGTATAGCAAGGTATTGTGACTGATTTACTGGTCTTGATCACTGAACTGCTCCCTGGAATGCCACAGGGTATATGCATTCTTGCCAATCATGCCCAGCATAAATAGTTGGCTATGCTGAATAGCCAATTTGCATATAGATGCAAAAATAGGTGGGCACCTACCTTCACACAGCATTGCCAACTGGCCTGGAAAAACAATGTCCTGTCCCTTTAACTAAAGCTTAATGGGGTGAAGAAGAAAATGGTTTTATACACTTCTTTCCCTTACCCTAAGGAGTCTCAAAGGGGCTTACAATCGCCTTCCCTTCCCCTCCCCACAACAAGCACCTACCCTGTGAGGTAGGTGGGGCTGAGAAAGTTCTGAGAGAACAATGGCTGGCCCAAGGTCACCCCAGGAGGCTTCATGTAGAGGAGAAGTGGGGAATCAAACCTGGTTCTCCATATTAGAGGCTGCCACTCTTAACCACCACCCCACACTGACTGGGATGTTTACCTCCATGCCAAGAAAAGATTCAGCTATTAATTTCCACGCTCTATTAAAAGGACAGGGCATTTTTCCCCAAACCAGTTGGCAACCATACCTCCATATACAATTTGTACTCTCAGGTTATGGATCCAGCAAGGGATGTACACAAGAAAGTTGCTTTTGTATGTACACTGC